CGCAAGCCCAAATGGCATAACTAAGAATTTGTAATTGCCAAATCTTGATGCAAAGGCTGTGAGGTGCTCAAACCCAGGACGGATGCAGAGTAAGTTGTAGGCATTTCGGAGATCCAGCTTAGTAAAAATGCTCACTTGGCCCAGGCGTTCTAAAATCTCAGAGATCAACGGCATGGAATGCGTGTTGGGGACTGTAATGGCATTAAGACGGTGGAAATCGATACAAACTCTGGGTTCTTCAGAATTTTTCTGGGGAACAATAAGGGGCATGGCCGAAGTGGGCGACAATAAGGAATGAAATCTTTTTTTAAGTTGGTAAAAATGAATTCTTTGAGTACCTGTAGCTCCTTGGGGGACATGGGCCGCAATTTGCCGACAGGAAGGGTGGCTCCCGGCTGTATGTGAATCTCCATGTCACAAGCGCGGTGGGGTGGTAGCTTGTCGGCCTCTTGAGGATCAAAGATGTCCCAAAAATCCTGATACTGAGAAGGAAGAGCGGTGGTGGATGATGGGGGGGGGATTGGTGGAGCATGGGTGGAGGAGTCAAAACAATGTAGGATGCAAAACTTGGAAATAAATTGTATCTGCCCTGAGTCTCACATTATCTGAGGTTTATGCTTGACTAACCAGTCCATGCCCAGTACCAGGGGGTACTGTAAATCCTTTACTAACAAGAACACAGCCTGCTCGTGATGTTTGGCAATCTGCAGAGTCAATGGGGAAGAGTGGTGCGACGATGGGCACTGTAGAGGCTGCCTCTGAATTGAGTCCACTAGGAGTGGGGCAGGTAGTAATGATGTTGGAAAGGAGTGCTTTTAGTAAAATTCTCATCCATAAATGAAGCAGTGGCACTGCTATCAATCAAGGCTGTGGCCCATATTTCAGGCTGAGGAGGTGCCTGTCAAGCAACATCAATCAGCAGGTGTTGGGTTGAAGGAGGCCCTTTGGGGGCAGGGCACCACCGGGGTTTTGGTGTGGGTCCCAGCGTCGCGATGCTTAATGACACTGGGACTGGAAGTTTCCCGCCTGCTTCTTCCAAGAGCAGAAATGAGTCAGTCCTCCTTGTCCATAAACAAAACACAGTCTGGCAGCATGGCGGTAATCAATCTCCCCTCTTGGAATGCGGGACCTGGCTGCTCCCAGCTGCATGGGCTCAGGCTCAGGCTCAGGCTCCGGCTGAGCTGTCACCTCAGCAACATAGTAATCTGGTGCGAGTCGGCGAGGCTTGGCCTCTGCCCATGGGAACCATCTCTCTCCAACTGGCAATGGGCCAGAGTGGCCTTCCTGCCTTTCTATTTCCCGCTCAGCAAGCTGCACGTCCAGTTGAATAGTCACAAGCATTAAATTTTGCAAATTGTCTGGTGGGGGAGAACGGGCCAAAATATCCAAAATCTCCCTCCTAAGACCCTCTCGATATTGTACCATCAAGGCTTCCTCATTCCATCCCAGGTCATTCATCAAAAGTTGAAATTGAGTCATGTAATCAGTAGCTGAGCCTGCTCCCTGCCGCAGGCATTTAATTTCACGGACCGCCATTTCCTTGTGTGCCCCCACGCCTAGAAACAGTTCCAAGGCATTCAGAAAAGCTGCTGCATCATTCAAAATGGGGTCCTGAGCCACCAGCCTCACAGTTGCCCACTGGGCAGCCGCCCCAGAAAGTTGATTGATTAAGAAGTCTACCTTGGTCTTCTCATCGGTGAAGTCATTTTGGCAAAGATGCATATATGGTTCACATTGTGCCTTGAAAGTCATAAATCCTTCCCTCTTTCCATCGTACTTGGGAGGAGGCTCTACTGGGCAGCGTTTCAACTTTATCTCCGAAGTCTGTGGGGAGGGGGCACCGCCACCATTGCTGCTGCTGCACAAAGCGAAGCAACTTCTGCACACAGATTGTTTGTTTGTTCGTTCGCTGCTGTAGCTTCGGCCCTCAAAAGGAGGTTCTCATCTTGAAGTGTTTTGTACTCCGGGGGAAGTGAAGGTGGAGCTGCAGCCTCCATTAGTAAAACGTTCCAAAAAAGAAAACAACTTCACCTGGCTGTGTGAGTCACGATGCTCCTGTGGATGCTGGAGTGCGGAGAAAGGAGGGGGCAAGCTGTTGTGAGGTCGTAACTCATGTCCCCAATTACTTGCACAGACGCAGGCAATAAAAACTAAAGACCTTTATTCCAAACGACTACAAGATTTATGTTTATGACAGATAGTGTAGGAGCTACCGCAGAGAGCTCTAAGCAACACAATTGCCCCCTCCTTTCTGACCTCTCTAAGATTTGTCACGTTGACCTCAATCTCATACGTCCCTCTCCAGGGGGGTTGGACAAACTTCTTTCTCTCCTTCTCTGTTCTAATTGGTCTAAGCGTCGAAGTCTCCGCCTCAGTTGGGCACTTTCCATGACAACCGACTCCCCTTCCTGATTTCCAGGAACTCTCTCAAAAACTTCAGAGTCAGGTGGTGGGGGGGGCTGTTTGTGCCATGGGCACCAAGTATAAATCTCCCTGCTCTAAAGCCTGATCCTCACTGGGGGCTTCTGGCCCTCTTTTGCGTGCTAACGCTTCCCCCAAGTCGTTAGGCATGACATCATCATTCAGGGCAATCAAGGCAGTCTCCTTCCTGAACCCTGGACTGAAACCCAGTTAAAATGGGTCCACTTCTTCCAAGAGTGCCTGGAACTGTCTGGCCACCAGTTGCTCCAGTATTGTGCTCAAAAAGGGAAGGTTTTCTACTGGTTAGTAGTTGGCAACAATCCCTGGATCCAGGGTCAGCTTATCATGGCCTCCTTTAAAGAGGCTGGTACTATCCCCTCTCTTAAGGAGGCATTAACAGCCTCCTGGACCCAGGGGTGAAGCCTCTTTTTGGATTTCTCAATGATGCATGATGGGCAAGGATCAAGAGGTCATGTGGTAGGATAAACAGAGTGAAGCACCTTGTCCACATCCTTGGGCTGCAGTAATTGAAACTCATCCAGCAAAATGGGGCTAGAAGACTGTGCTCTGGATATATCCCTAGATTAAACTGAAGCAATTGTGGAATCCAACTCATGGCAGATCTGAGCAATTTTTTTCACAAAGTGTATGGCAAATTCATCACAGTGAGTTGCTGAGAGTTCTGGAGTCTCATCTGGTGAACTAGACTGCAGGAAACCTCAAAACATTCAGAATAATTCAGCTGGACGGCATTTGTGAAGAACCAGTACAGGTGGCAGAATCCTGTCGTTTTGCTACCTTTATCACCATGGAATAGGCTTGATAATGAGCTCTAAGTTGTAATTGGTCAGACTTGTCATGAAATTTACTCCACTTACATTCTAGCTGTCTTCTCACTTCATCACTCTAAGCTCTGGTGTATACCATGGAGCCCACCAGGTTCTGTCAGGATGGAGAGGGCACTTAGGTGTGATTGTGTCATCCACCCAGGTCATCTTCCTGTGCCACAGGGTTACCTGGACTTCAGCAGGAGCACTTACTATATCAGCTGGATATCCGTTCCAGAGCTTTCTGGAATCCATCAGTCTCCAAGGCTGGACCATTCTAATATGCCCTTCACCCTTGTGGAGGGAGGAATGGGACAACAGTCCAAATCTCTCCATGAAGTGATCTCACCATGACAGTGAGGTTAAACTTATCTCCTCCAAAACTGAACCATCATCTTACAAGTCCATTGAAAAAACGAGGTTGAGAGTGTGGCCTTTTTCATGCATTTGGCTGATAACATGCTGAGACAGCCTCATGGTTGTCATGGTGGCCATGAAATCCTAAGCCACTCCTGATAAGGCAGTTTCAGCATGGACATTAAAGTCCTCCAGAACTAGCATTATAGGAGTCTTCAACACCAGGTCTGAGACTACTTTTCTTAAGTGAGGTAGGGAAACTGCTGGACAACAGGGTGGATATACCAGCAAAATCCTCAGTCTGACTCAAGAACCCAACGCCAGATAAAGACAGTCAAGACCAGATCCTGAGGAGACAAGAAACCTGGAGGGTATTAATGAGATAAATGGAGGCCACTCCCCTTCCCCAGCCCTCCAGGCAATGTTGGTGCTGTATCAAGGGCTGAGGTGGGCATTGCTGAGAAAGAAGAACATGTCTGGCCTCTTCCACCCAGGTTTTGGGGGCATTCATGTATACACACTTATAATTTGTTGCCACAACTGAGTTTAAAAATGTCTTGTTTCTTGGTTTTCAAGTTGGGGAAACACCTCCCACTGAAGTGGAACATAGATTATATCCCTTTAAGTCAGATGCGAGGAATAACCCACTTTTGCTCCATCTCTAACCAAGATGAGAACAAATAGCCTTGTTCTTAGGTATATATGTTAATTTTCCCCTAAACAAGCCATGTAAATAAGCCCATCATGGTTACAGTCATAGAATCATTGAATGGTGGAGTTAGAAGGGGCCAGAGGGCCATTGGGTCCAACCCCCTGCTCAGTGTAGGACAGGAGTTAAACCATCACTCTCAGATGGTCCTTTTCCTCAGCCAGCATGGGATTGCATGATACTTTTTATTTTCCTTATTTTACTAGCCTGCTGTCAGACTGACAGAGAAAGGATAGGGCAGTTTTCCTTCTTCCACAAACAGCACAGAAGCCAGGCAAATAAGTGGAAGAGATCCATTCCTCATTTGCCAGCCTGCATACTGTTCTGCATGAAATTCCTGGTTGCACTGGTTATGAGGCAAGTTGTTAATTACATGGCTGTTACACTTATTTAAATTTTGGTGGAGAGCACATTGGTTTCACTGGAATGAAATAATATTTTCTATTGAAATTGTATCAAGAATATTGGTCAACTTGTTTTGTTAGGCACACTTCAGTTACTTGGATACTGAAGTCATACTGATTTCTCATAGGAAGAATTTTTCTAGTAGTTGAATATCTTTTATATTGATAATGCCTTTCTATTAAATATAATTATGATTTTAGAGCAGGTTAATGGTTTCTGAGGTTTCAATGACATAACAGAATGCTAAAACATCATATTAAGATGGCTTCTTTTTCATCTAGGCCCTTCAGTTACTTCATTCATTTCCCATTGATACACGATTAAAAGATGGTAGTAAGTACAGTATATATTTAAATAAATATTGATTTAATGTATCTTATTTCATTTAATTGCTTTTAAGATTCAGTTTGTTTTCTTTTGAATTGCCAGGTTTGTTTTGGCAGTCACCAAAGAGGCCACCTTTTCCAATACAATTTGACTTCAATGATCCACTGTAAGTAAATGAGTATCTCTTTAGTTTTCATTATAGTGAAGCAAGAAACTATATATGGTAAATCTGTGGATTTATAGAACCAATCTAATGCAGCATTGAAATACAAGTATTTTATCAGGCATTCAGGCCTCTTAAGGTCTTTAGAATGATCTTTGACTCTTCTGTTCTAAAATCCATCTTCATTAATAATATGTGGGTGGAGTGATTCATTCTGGTTCCTGACTCCTAGCAGAGCAGAGCAAGTTGCCCCAGCTGGTCTAGGGCCTCTGGGATACAAGCAGCCAAGCTTCCAGGGAGCGAGCAACCAGAACAAACAAACAGGAGTCTGGGGGAGGAGTTCGGCAGGGGAGTCAAGGGGGAAGTCCCTAATATTTTTCCACCCTTTGTTTCTCTTCTTTATTTCACCCTTACCCCCACCCTGTGCGCACACACACACACACTCGCACACACTTCTCTTCTTCCTTGTAACATACTCCTATTTACTAGTAGGACTGTGTTGCTAACCTTTAGTGAAGATATTCAGAGCACCAGTTGTCACAACAGTTCCTGCAAAGTCAGAAACACTAAGGTTGCACAAACAATGGACTAAGGAGACTCCGCAATGGTGATGGCCTGCAACAGCTGCATACTAAGAGCTCTGATAGAAGAAAAGGTGAGAGCACTGGAGCAGCAAGTGTCCATTCTCCAGATAATAAAAGAAAACTAAGGGTTTTTAGACAGAGTGAAGGATCTGCAACAGCTAAGTGTAGTCCAGAAGCAAGAAGAGCATCAGCAAGCTGAAACAGCAGAAGAGAACCTTGAGAGACAGGAAAAGGAGGAAACTCCCTGGAGCAGGACGACAGACACAAAAGACCTAGAAAACACTGCACCAGTGGAACTCTCAAACTGCTTCAAGTTCTTCATCATGGTCTCTGTGCATCACACACATGGGTGCTGTGCCTGGCAGTGCCTATATTCGGTAAGGTTCTCAGCTCATTAGGATTTTTGGTGGGAACCCAAACTTCCCTCCCTCTCTGTATAAATAGGCTGGGCCTGCTGTCTTGTCAGTCTGTTTTCGATTGCTGTTCACTGTGACTTGGGTTTCTCTTACTGCTTTCGCTTTTTTCTCAAAAAACTACCAATTTCTTATCTATCTTTTGAAAAATTTCTCACCTTCACTTCTTCTAAAACCTCTTTACTGCCTCACCATCTTTTCTTCAACCACCTTTTTAAATTCCCCCTTCCCTGCTTCTACATCCCCTCACAATTTTTTTTTAAAAACTACCTATTGCCTACTCTTCTTATCTCAACCCCTTCTTTCTTCTTGATGGCACAGCTTTCTGCTTTTAGAAAGTGTGCACGGTGTGGAGCAAAAATTTCTTCTACAGACAGCCATATGCTCTGCCTACTTTCTTTTGGAGAGGGGCCATTGAGTGGACAAATATGTCCACTGTTAGGCTTTTACTGCAGAGCTCTAGTGGCTATGAAGGAGGTTACCTCTGAAAAAACTACCAGTCCTCCTGCTCCTGAAGAAAGTGCCCCTGTGCACTCACCTGCAGCTTCTCAGCTTGCTTCAAGGAGTTCCAGGACTGAAGAAAAATGTCCCAAATGGTCTTATTGTCCTAGAAAACAGAGAAAAGAAAGCAAAAAGACCAAACAATCTGGGAAAGAAAAATGTCCCAGAAAAGAAAAGCCTGAGAAAAGGCAGAAACGACATCATTCCACTCAGAAGGACGTGGAATATCAACTTGAGATGGAACTGTTTGGTTCACCTGTACCAAAACAACCTCCGTTTCAACCCCCATCGGTATGGGCAAGTCCGAGACTATCTCCATGCTCTCATCCCAGCCTGTCACCAAGATTGTGTCCATGCTTGTGACACAGCCCACCTGGTCTCCACAGACATGAGATAGCCTTACCTACATCTATCTCGGAAGGGGAGGTTCGTGAATCCCCGAATTGCTCACCACAGCAATCCAAATTGTTGGTACAGATGACTCAAGTTTCACCAGCACAAGTCCAATGTCCTCCCATACCAAGTCCATATGAACTACAGTCAGCCGAAGCTTCTCCAGGTTCGACCCACAGATCCAACAATGCCTTCGAACCAGAGATCTCTTGGTATGGAAGAGACTGGTACTGGATGTCCTCTCCATATCCATGTTGCCCACCCAGATATATACAGGATTATATTCCACCTTATGGGTTCCTATACCCTCCAGCTCATTCTTGACATCAGCCACAACAACAGTCAGATTTACCATCTACTTCTGGAGAGGTGACCGCTGTTCCCTGAGCAACAGAATATCTATCTCTGGCTCATTCCTCCTCTTCTATTACGGCATATATCAGACTTTGACAGATACTGCTGAGGCAGTTTCCACCTTGCCTGAGAATATTGTGTCACCACAAGGTCCAGGATTGCCCAGGGAGAGCATGGGACAGTTCTCTGAACAGATTGTTCGTATGGCAACATTCTTAGGTATCAATGTTCAACATACTGAACCGGGACAAGATACCATTTACAATGTCATCAGGACAAAGGACATGGTCCCAGTGGCTCTCCCTTTTATTCCTATGCTATGCCAGGTGATGATGGAATCGTGGGAACTGCCAAATCATCTGCATCTAACTTTGTAGTACCCTGAGAGCATGTATACGGTGAGGGAACAGAACATCATCCCCAACTAAATTTGATTGTTATCAAATCCACTAAGGGCCATCAGAATCAAGAACATACTGCACTGACCAACCATGAAGGCTGGAAAATTAACATGATGTCTCACCATATTTACTCCGCCATGGGACTTGGACTCAGAATTTCTAATTATGAAGCCATGATGGGACATTATCAGTTTTCTTCTGTGGCAAAAAATGGAATCCCTCCCTTCTGTTCTTCCAGAGCAGCAAAGAGACCTGGTGAGAGGCTTCATTGGCGAGGTGATGCAACTACCCAAGCAACAACTGACAATGTTGAGGCATCATGTAGATTGCAAATCAAGAACATTTGTTGGTGTGGCTGCCCTTAGACAACATGCATGGTTGAGAGCTGGAAACCTGCTGCAGGAAACTAAGTGGATCAAGAATATGCCTTTTGATGGTGCTGGTCTCTTCCATTTGAAGATGGACAAAAGGCTAGATACCATCCACAAAGCAAGACTTAAGGTTCATACAATGATTTTGTAAGTGGTCATGGAAGCGGCAATCCCAATATCGCCCCTTCCAACCTACACAACAAGACTACCTCATGGGGCATCAGCAATATGGTCAGAGACCAACTGACCCCACTGTACCAACACTCCTTAGTAGCAACAGCCTAAAAAGAGGCTTGATACCGACAAAAGCCAACAGTGACAGGCAGTGTGAATTAGTCCTCACACTTCTCCACCATTCCCATTTGGGAATCTATCACATTCCAAGGACCACAGAATATTGGGATTCTCCTTCCCACAGTCTTACAGCCTGGGGAGGGGGAATTTGACATCAAATCCTTCTTCATCCTCCACCTCTCACAGCTGTCATGAAAAGAGTCATGTTCTTTCTCAAGTTGTAACAGAATTATTTGATGATTTTGAGAGGGTGAATAGAGGTTTTCCTAGGGGAGGGGAGGGGAGGGGAGGGGAGGGGAGGGGAGGATCCATAGAATCCTATGGTCTTTGTTGCCTGTCCCCACCCAAAGCTAGTACATGATCTTTATGGCTTCAATAGTCTTCCTAGGGTGTTAGTTTTTTTGTTTTGGAGGAACAGGAAATGCCTGTTTCCCCCCCACCCACCTTGCATTAGTCTAGCAGGTCATAGAATTGTTAGAATCCTCTGAACTTTCATCTGATGGTCAGCAATCCCATAAGGATTGTGCCCTAAATTAAGCAAAGTACAGATCTATTCAAAGGCAAGTTTGTTTTCTATTCCTTCAGCTCTTCTGCTTGATGAAAAATACCCGCTGCTTCAGTTTTCCCCTACTCTTAATATGTTTTTCAGGAAAGTGGAATGATACCTTGCTTTTTTCCCCAGGCACTACAGCTTCATACTGAGTACAGCAAAACTATTTGCAGTTGTTTACTGTGTCCCTTTTACAGAAAAGGTAAGCCTTTAAATGGGGGACTGAATCCTTGCACTGTAAACCTTTTTCTGTGGATTTTTCAAAACACTTTGAAATGTCAAGCATGTTTATGACAGGTAAAAGCAAAGTATACTTCAGAATCCAGGTTTCCTCAAAACCCTGTGTCCAGATACTCCTTGAATCCATTCTGAGTCAAATAACCAATGGAGCAAAGCTCAGGGAACCAAGGTTCAAGGTGGATGCCAGGAAGTATTTTCTGACAGTTAGAATCCCAAGGGTATGGAACGGGCTTCCACAGGAGGTGGTGAAGCCCCATTGGTAAGGGTGTTCAAAGATAGGTTGGATATGCACATGGTAGGCATGCCATGAGCAGAGCTGGCTGGGGCCAGGGGTCAGACTAGATGGACTGGGAGGCCCTTTCTTTGCTTCTGTGTGTATATGTTTAACCCTCAGCTGCCCCTCCCCAATTATCTCTCATTGTTCCTGATATTTTGTATTTTCGCTTGCAGTATCTTTCTGCAAGAAAAGTTGCAATCTAATCTGTAGTTTTGCCTAAATCACTGAAATTTGCATTCTCTTCCTTAATAAAGCACTTGCAAAATGTGAAAGAAAAATTTTGTATATGTGTATTTATGGATTTAATATGAAAGCAACAAAGCTTTGCATTTGTCTTTCCATAATTATTACATTTTGTTCACTTGCATTTTTTAAAAAATGAATTGTGTCTGGAACATGTACAATAGCTGTACAAAGTTCAGAAGGCATAGAAATATTTCTAGGGAATGTTCCTCAGCCACACTCGGATATGTTCTAGATTCATGTCATGGTTTTTGGAAGTAAAAGTTCTGCTAATAACTGTGGAGATGGCATTGTAAACAAGATTAAGTGAATTTTAGTAAAAATAATAATAATGTGAATACTTCCTGTTACCTTGTTGATTCTTTGTGTCCAACCTTTTTGTTTACTTTATGCTTACTGTTGAGGAGCAGAGTTTATTTATCAATACAAGCTTTTATATACCATCCTCCATAGCCAAGTTGGCTCTCATAATGGTTTCAAGAAGTATGGTTGTCCTCAGTTTATAATAGGTATCACTTTTATACAGGATATGGCAGAAGAAAATATTTGGAAGATAATTTCTGATTTGAAGGTTCAAGAGTTTCAACCTTCTAACAAAGTAAGATCAGCATCTAGATAATATACCTTTTCACATTACCATTTGATTATTGTTATGCACATGCATTTGTTAGAGGTTTTTTTGAGCCTGGTTCCAAGTTTCCCAATATCATTGTAATAATTGCCATGAACATATTCAGTGATTTTAGGTTATCCTCTTTGTTTTCACCTCGGCTGTCTAATTTCACTATTGTCCTACCATTTTAAATTATAAGAATTAAGACAAGATAATTTATTTATTTATTCATTTATTTATTTATTAAAACATTTCTATGCCGCCCCTTGCCGTAGCCTTGGGGCGGCTGACAACATAATAAAATACACAATAAATTAAAACAATAACAATTAAAATATATACATTGGAATAAAATAAGCCGCCCTAGCCAAATAAAATTCAATGATATTAACATTTAAAATGCTGCTTTAATAAAAAGGTCTTCGCCTGGCGCCGAAAAACAAATAACGACGGCGCCAGGCAGGATGTATTGAATGTTTTAAATCATTCTATGAATACCTATTGTATTACTATTGCCATTATTTGGCCTTCCCAAAGTTTGTTTAGGTGCCACTGAAATGGAGATAAGAGCTTGAGTAACTTAATTTAAAAGACAACAAGCACACATTAGAATTAAAAAAAATTAAACTGTTCTGTCAGTGTAAATTAAAAGCTCTTCTCCTTCCCTACAGAAAGTTTTTTGGGAAAAAAAATATTGGAAGCATGCATTTTAAATTGGAGGCATGCCAGACATATTTACATAAAGTCCTTGATTATGGTGTTTTAAATATACATACAAAACTTTCATAAGGTTTGCAATTTTGGAGCCAGTTTTTGCTAATATTGTGCTGTTGGTTTTAGACAGAAGGAATAAGCTGCTTTGATATCCCTCCGAAATACTTAGATACTACCAAAATTGTTTCTTTCTGTAAAAGCTCCAAGTTGATTATACAAGATGGGGCAAGCATTGCAGCCAATCTACATTAATAAAGTAGACTTGTGTACAGAAAAATGCATGTAGTAAGATTTTGTCTATTTACCATTCATGTTCACAGGTTGTACAAACAGACGAAACAGTGAGGAAACCAGATCCTATTCCAGTAAGCAGCGAGGATGAGAGGAATGCTGTTCTTCAGTTGGAGACTGCCATATTGGCTAATGCAGCTACAAAAGGTGAATATTAGTGCTTAGAGATATTACCCTTTCTAACTCAAATAGAACCACTCAAGGCAGTGCAGTAAGAATAAGCACATTAATTATAGAGCAGAATGAAAATACTGCGAACAAGCAGCAGGTAAAAATACAAAAAAAGGCTGCGGCGCGGGGTGGAAACACTAAAAAAGAACAGAGTGAACAGGAGAACATTACTCATAACCTACACTGGGATGGCCAAACTTGGAAGAGCCACATATGGTAAATGTCAGATGTTTGAGAGCTGCAAGCAGGCAATTATGGGCAGTGGCGGCAGGTGGCAAGCAGGTGCCCATAGGTAGCAGGTGGTGAGTGGCAAGTGGACACCTGCAGCAGCAAGTGTGGAGCCACAAAATAAACTTAAAGAGCCACATGTGGTTCCTGAGCCTCAATTTGGCAACCCTTGATCCTAGTAGACCAAAGACCTGCCTGAAACAAAGCTTTTTATGATGGCAGAATCCCATGAGAGAGTATCAGCTGTATCTTACATAGGAGTGAGACTTGTAAGTGTGGCTCTCTTAGTAACTTTAGTGGATGGGCAAGATTATACAGGAGAAGACTGTTGTTTAGGGTACCTGATCACAAATTGTTCAGTGCTTCAGAGTAATTACCAACACCTTGAATAGTGTCTGGAAACAGACCAGTAACCACTGCAGGTAATATGTTGCTGGAACCAGTTGCTGGATCCAGAAAACCCCATGCTGAGTATGTTATAAATATCTAACCTTGATGTAGCCAATGTATGTATGGCAGGGCCACATCTCTTTTCCCCAGGAATGGAATCAGTTTGTCAAAACTTGGCCAAAGTGCTCCTGGCTACAACTGATACTTGTGCACCCAAGAACAAGGCCATATTAAAGGAGCACTTCCAAACAACAAGCTTGTTTTTTCAAGGACAGTGTTAAACCTTTCTGGAATGGGCTCAACTCCAAAGACTGATTAGATTGTTTATGCTGTATTAGAGATTCATAGTTTGATCTATACTAAAGGTTCAGGATGAATAACAATCTTTTCAACAAAGTTTTTGCCAATGTTATATTAAGGCAAGGCATATCTCTTTAGGAAAAGCTGAGAAATGTCTCCATTCTGTGGGGTAATAGCTTTCTTTACAATATATTCCCTTCTGCAGAAAAATTCAGTCCCAACTGCCTTGAGGGAAATGAAAGTAACCATTTATTGAAGTAAAATAGCCAAGAATCCCAAAAGAATTTTGACTTTTATTTCTGAACAGATGACTTACAAATGAAGGAACTTACTTTTGAAAAGGATGATGACAGTAATGGGCACATAGACTTCATAACAGCAGCTTCCAATTTGCGAGCCAAAATGTATAATATTGAACCAGCAGACAGACTCAAAACAAAACGGATTGCTGGAAAAATTATCCCTGCCATTGCAACTTCTACAGCAGCTGTCTCTGGTTTGGTAAGTGAGGATTCATTTTTCCTGTCTTGAACATAAAATTATGATGAATACTAATTTCCCTGTTATGGCTAGAAAAGCCAAAGGTGAATAGACAGAAAGGAACTGTTTTTCTTATTACTTAGATTCCCCAACTCATCATGGGATAAGGAAGCAGTTCTCTTTTATCTCTTGGTCCTGTTTTGCTTCTGAGGAAGTGATGTCTTAGCTGTACAAATGAGGTGGTAAAAATGTATGAGGCCATGTTATGCTGTATTGGGAAAATTGGCAATATCAGCTATATTATGGAATAAATCTTTATGTGGTTGTTGCAAAAAGTAGAAGCCATCTCTCTTTTTTCTTATTGTAGTATAAGTGCTTTCCTGAATACAAGTCTGGCTTGAAATGTAATAAATAATTGCATGCATGTATGCAACTAATTTGCAGATTGTGCTTACTTATAATAAACTATACATATATGGAACAGTTACTTGAGACTGACTGCACATTATTTTCACCTGAATTCATTCCTAAAAGTAGCTTCTGGAGAGGAAGCTCACCAGCATGAAGTGATTCTTTGTGTTAAAGCAGGGGTGCATGGGTCAGAGGTGATGCTGTCTAGGGGGCTGCAGAGTCATCCATGCATGAATTCCTTCCATTGATAAGTGGAATTTTGGAGGAAGGAACAGAAAGACCAATCTTGAGGGAGGCAATGGTCTTTTGGGAGGCTTAAGATTATGCACCCCTGGGCAAATGGAAAGACCTACTTGGATGCCTGATACTTGTATCCTCTCGATGGGAATGCAGGAAATGTTTCCTGCAAAGGGGGGGGGGGCAGGAGGGAAATCACATGTTCACTCAGAAATGTGTGTATTAAGGCAATGGTGGGCAAAGTCTGAAGACTGTTTTACCTCTTCCCCCTCCTCCAGGTTCACCCCCACCTCTGCAGCTGAATTCACTGCTTCATTTTGTAGTGTAACAGAGAATCTGGTGGTGAAAGAGGAACAGGGTGGAGGGCACCAAGGAACTCATTGGGGATGTATAGCCTGCCCCTGAAGGTCTCCTGAGATACTCCTATCTTTGGACATCTGATTCCTATCCAAAAACTGACTGTTTTGTGGCTTATCATTCATGCTGCATATTGTATAGATCAGGATATGCCAAAACTTCTATAGCTGTATAGTTATGGTAAGGCATTTCAGAGTTTTTACAGCTTCTACATTTCTTCCTTTCCTGTAGGTTGCTTTGGAATTGATCAAAGTAGTTGGTGGCTACCCTTTCCAAGCATATAAGAACTGCTTTTTCAACCTGGCTATACCAATAATTGTCTTCACACAAACAACTGAAGTAAGAAAAACAAAAATAAGGTAAATAGGATGAATTAAGGGATTAAAATAAGATATGCTGTAAGCAAGAAAACTCAAAGCCTTTATATAGATTGAAGTATGACTAAACAACTGGACAAATTTTAAGAAATTCTCATTGCTTATTATTTACTCTCCTGAGTTGGAAGGTGGGAGGCAATTGCCACATTTGGGATTGCACCTCTTTTTGGCTGCAGGTAAGTCACCTGCCATCTCTGAAAATAGGAATTCATAGATAGATTCCTACCTGTTGCAATACTCTGACTTTAGAAGCCTATTTATCATCTTCCTACACTTCAAAGTACTGATAATATCAAATGATTGAAAACTGTTTTACAATAACATGCCTCTGATACAAAGTATTTTTCATTTTTATTCTGTGACAGAAATGGGATATCTTTTACAATCTGGGATAGATGGACTGTTTATGGGAAGGATGATTTCACACTTTTGGACTTCATAAATGCTGTCAAAGTAAGAAATTTGCATTAAATACACCATTACAGAACAGATTGTTGGTAATTCTTTTGTCAGATTGCACATTGGTACAGATCATAAAATTTACTGCCTTTCAAGTCATAATTCATCCTGCCAATTCAGATTCATGTTACATCATAGCATATTCAGAAAATATTTGCATACTGAAAACTTGCAAGGTGTATGTGATGTGAAAATGATCACAGTGAACTGAGCTTGCACCTTAAATTTCTAATTAGAACTGTAGAAAATAAACCAATTCAAGTATTTTTTGCATTTGTGTTTCAGGAAAAATACGGAATTGAGCCAACTATGGTGGTTCAGGGAGTGAAAATGCTATATGTTCCTGTGATGCCTGGACATGTCAAAAGACTAAAGCTGACGTAAGTATTAACAATACAGCAAATCTGATAAAATCCAGGTGGGCCTTCAAGATGTCTGAGAGAGAAGTCTTGCTTTACCTATGGTTATGACAGAATGTTTTTGTTTTGTTTTTTTAATTGTGGTTGGTGTAAAGTGTGTCACAGATTACAGGGTTCTGCCAAGACCTCTGTGGTGTATGCCAAATTCACTTGTTCATTGAGGATCAGAAACTAATAGTAGACTGCTTCCAATTTCCTAATGTTGTGTTTCTAACAGTACCTTAAGACCCCAGTGTATTACTGGCATGGCAAGATGAAGACCCTAGTTAAGAGAAGGACTGTAAAGGGAGGATAGTCTGAAATTACCTATCCATTCTTATATAATATTGCCCATCAAATGGAGTGCCAGTGTGGTGTAGTGGTTAAGAGCATGGGACTGGGACTCAGACGACCTGGGTTCTAGTCCCCACTCAGCCATGGAGCCAACTGGGTGACTTTGGGCCAGTCACAGACTCTCAGCCCAACCTACCTCACAGGGTTGTTGTGCGGATAAGATGGAGGAGGAGATGTAAGCTGCCTTGAGCCCTTTGTAGGAAAAAGGCAGGCTATAAATCGATAAATAAATAAATAAAATGCCATTGCTGTATCTCCCTCACTGAACAGCAGTACTGTGTTCTTCCCAGTCATATCCCCTGTTCAGGCACCTAACTAACAAGCAAATGAACAACCAACATAACAGAATAAAATGAAATCAGAATACTTAACTAATTAATAGTGTCTGTCCGATCTCCAGCACACTCGCAGGAGAATTTTAACAATTCAAAGGATGAAACTGCTTGTGAGACAGTGCGGCCACACACTGTCCTGGGACTTAGCCAAGGGAGGCAGTAGAAAAGATTAGCCAAAGGGCTGGTGGAGATGTCTGCATACCAGTCATGGGAACAATGGGGAGTTACAGCCCACAGGAGGGGATGTTGAAATGAAAGATCTTTCCAATGGAGAGATCCTTCAGAGGTAAACAGGGTGGCACTAGTGAGAAGCCCAATTAGAGGCACAATGGGTGGATTGGAGGCATGCTCATTTCCATAGTGGACCTCCTCCAAGGTTGAGATGCAGATGGGTTCATAAGGTGAGCTTTGCAAAACGAGCAGTAGATAGGCTTCAACATACTACATTGTGTATGCTCAGACACTTTCGAGAAACAATAAAGATTATTAAGCAAAGAAATGGTTTGAAATTGGTGTTGGTCAGAGGGATAACATGGCTCACAACAGTATCCTCCCCAAACAGTCATTCTTCCTGTTAGCATCACAAATTCATAAGAACACATAAAATCAAATCGAATTCCTTAGGTATTCAGACTCATTTCCCTTTCCTGAGGAGGAAATGGTCTGGGGAACAGTCTTCTTTCCAGATTGGGAAGGCAGTCCTAAAGGATTAAGGATTCTCTCTGTCCACTGGAAAATTACTGCTTTTTAAAATATTCTTATTAACACTTTTCAAAATGTGCTCTAATGATGTCCCTGCAGGTCTGTTTTTCCTTATAATAGAAGGCTTGCCTGATCCAAGGTTGGCTGCATCTTAAAAATTCTATCTTGAATTTGTTTCTAGTCTTCCAGGAATACTTCTTGTGTTGTGTTTGTAGCTTCTTAATACAATGTATAATTCTGTACATAAATCCTGTCTTGTAGGATGCAAAAACTTGTGAAACCAACAGCAAATAAGAAATATGTCGACCTCACTGTATCATTTGCTCCAGAAACAGATGGTGAAGAAGACTTGCCAGGACCACCTGTTAGATATTATTTTGCCCATGAAAATGATACAGGTTTACTGTAGAGGACCACAGGAAAGGAGAGTAACACCATCCTGGGGTGGAAAGGGAATGGTACTATATACTTGGTGAAGCCTTAATTCAGAAATAGGGGAAGTCAGTGACCTGTTCTAAGAAGCTCTTTAGCAAAGTGGATTTGTAATTTATATATCTAGCATTTTCATAGCTATCTGTATCTAAGGAGAACTTGAAGCTTGCTTGAAAGTATGGTTCATTTTGAAGAAAACACACTTATGTTAACCTCTGTGGGAAGACCAGAATGACAGACTGAAAATCTGTGTAGTAGAAAAGGTGACAGTCAAGATTTGGAAAAATTGCCAATGTCAGCGTTATCAAACTTTTTTTTTTCCTTTGCTTTTCCCCCTGCCCCACTGCATGTTAGCCCAAGTCTAGTTGAATGATGTTTTACTGCAATAATTGTTTGTTCTCTTCTGGAGCAGATTAAATGTTACTTTAGAAGACATTCACAGTGAGAGGAAGCCAACTTATAAAGCTATAATTTTTGTTTTTCTAATAAGTTTTTCTGTTACCTCACCAACCACACCATGTAAAGCAAATGCAGATTGTACTGTAGGCATTTTCATCTAAGAGCTTGGGTTTTCATAGCTGCTTTTTCATACTGCTTTAAAGAAGTTGGATGATTGTTCCTGTGTGGGAAGAGACTGATTAATACCTGGGTCCTAACTGGAAATACAAGTGTCTTGGTTTTGGATAAAATGTGTAAATTGTCATCTCTTTCCCTCAGATATGTCAACTGCCACATTTTCATTTGTCAAGTTGAAGCTTATATTTGGTTGACATTATATGACCTATTCAGGGCCAAAATACACACTTAGCTTGGAGAGCATTTTTAAACCTTGATTTGTCCCAGTCACATAGAAAGCAGTGGATTTGGCCATATTTTAACAGCAAAAGAGGAATATAGCTGAACCAGCCTGCCCACCATTTTCATTCCTGCAGACCCCAACCCTGCTGTGGGGAAATAAGCCTCAGGTGGGAAAAGTGTTTAGCACCTTTTGCTCACATCTCCTTCATTAAAATTGGACACATGGCCCATTCTTTTATAATTAGGGCAGTTCCAGATGTAAACACTCTGTTTTACATTACTGAACTTTATCATCAGTGCTGTTGCATTGCCACCAGTGTTATTTAGTTGTGCATAAGGCCCCTGGTAAAATCCAGATATTGAAGGTTTCATGTACATCAGCCTAGTTCACATGATCACCATAGAACAGTTGCTTGTTTAAACCGCAGTATACACTGAACACTATATGTGTATATGCAGACACACATACACACACGTGTGTGTATACACCATGAACCTGGCACAGCTTGTTATATGATCCATACTTGGGTGGAATGGCTTGTTGCATAGCAAAATGAACTTCAAATATTCCATTACCATTCTGTGGGTTATTTGAGGGATGTTTTCCCTGCCTGACAAGTCATGCTGCCCATATTCAGATGACAGGCCAGGTTGTGGCTGGGTGGGTGATTAGGTAATGATGCTCAGCACATACTATGACTTAAGCAAGTCACTGGCACTTGTTTTAATTCATGGTTATTGTGTGAATAAGCCCACTGTGACTATAGCCAGACATGGTCCTCAATATGCTTGAAGAACATGCTCAACTCTGTTAGGCTGTATTTTCTTGTTTCTGTACTGACTCTTTTAAAACTCAGTTTAAAAGTTTCTTTTAAAAGCTTCTTCATACAAATATGTTTACACTATAATGAGTCCAATTACAGAACAGTTTACAGATATTTCAATTTAAGTAGTCCAATATAGATTTACTAGGAAGGGAGAAATAATTTTGGTTGTAGTTGTTTGATATGAAACAGTGCCTTACAGAAGCATCTTTGGCACATTTTTGCTTCCTTATGCATGTAGCTTTAGCCTACTTCTCTTGCCTCTCCCCCACCAGAGAAAAATTAAGGTGCATGTTTAACTCTTTAAAAAAAATATCATGGCTTCACTCTATATTCCTAAGTACTTTGTCACAAAAGATTTTGTTATATTAATATATTTCTTAAACTTTGTGTTTTTATGCAGTTATGACATATAAGTTGCCAATGTTTCCTTTTCTGTAGGTACTTGAATACCAAAGATGTACTTACCCTTATCAAAATTATTCCATAATTTAGGAATGTAGTAATTCTTTCTAAGTGATGTATCTGCTACCATTTCCAATTTGTTATATTTTAATGGAATTAATTTTGATAATTTGCTAGTTAATTTTTTAAGCAATGAGAGAGCATAGATACTGTGACAGCAGGAGGTAGAGGGACACTGAAGATGTTACTATTCTGGCATATATAGCAAATCACTATTTTGCCTGAGATTTGCTTATCTTTGTGTTTTAAATAGTTTTTTCATAAAGCAAACTATAGTGAGCTTAAAATAGTTTAGATGCTTGCTGGGTAGTAATAAAACAAGGGTTACTGTCATGAATATCCCATGAGAGGTAATTATTAAAAAAAAAACCAATCTGGGTGTGATCATGCTAGCATTTTTTCTCCTTCACAATTACTAATCAGCATTCAAGAGTAGCAACGAGACAGTCTTTGCATTTGCAAAACTGCATTTGATGTCATACATCAGTGGGCTTGAAACTGAAGAACCTTTCCCAGCAAGTCTTCCTTGCAGACATTATTGTATAGAAACATTCAGAATAGTGGACAGAACCAACACAAAAATCTGCCTACCTGTTATATATAGTCTTATCTTGAGGATTATTCTGCTCACAGAGGTAATCTCAAAGAGTGTTTTCAGTTTAAAGATAAAAATAAGGATTCTGTATACTTCCACAGTTTGCATTATCTCTGAATTTATTTCAGTACTTTTTGAAGGAGTGATTTTTATTTGTGTAAAGAATATGATGTATAGTCTAAGCAGTTACCGAAATCTGCTTTTTGTCTTTCATATTAAAAATGTGAAAACATACCACCAAAATGTGCATGGTTTTGTCAATTGTTCAGAATGGAGTATTTTGCAGCATGATTTGTTCATTAGTTTTTTCTCCCAAGGTGGCAGAGTGAAGGCATTTATCTCATTAGTGACAATACCATCTTGGAGGCTTAGGCAGTATCAAATTAGAATACTAACAATGGAGCTTCCCAGCTCCCCTGATGAGTCCTGCCTTACTGGAGCTCATACTTGCTCCCAAAAACAACTCATTAATGCTTAATTATATTTGGGTTGCAAGTAGCTATAAAGCTACTATACCACACACATAATGGAGCCTTTCCCCCAAGCCCCACTTGGTTTTAGGAGGAAAATCCTAATGCTTGGTTGTAGACTCAATGTTGTAGTGAATGCTGATCTCTCAGAATTGTTCCATTCTATCTCAAATCCATTGCTTGGTTCCAAAAGGAAAAGGAGCACATGTTGCTGCTCTGGAACAGTTCAGATCCCAGATGTTTGCTTCGTTTTCTAAGGATACTATTTTTTCCTAACTCCAAGGACAGAAAAATGTTGTCTAGTGTGAACTGTTCTCTCAGATCTTGATTTCTTTTCTACTTCGTGGTCTCTGTGCAATCACACATATAGGCTTGCTGTGGAGCACAAGGCCTCGATTGGAGAAAAACTTCCAAAACATGGCACCATGGAGTGAGTGGGATCCTGGTCCGCCCTATGTGTAGGTAGCATTAGGGGGTGGCTCCCGCCCAGTCCCTCAGTTCCTTTTCAACCGTGCTTTAAGTCGCTTTGGATTGGATCTTCTGCTTGCCACTGACCTGGTTCGCCATCTTCCTTTTTTTGCCCTTCTCTATCTCCTTACTAAAAAAATAAAAAATAAAAAAACCTTTCACCTATCCCTACAGCTTAGAGAGAAGCCCACTGCCTTTCCCTCCTCTCTCCTTGCAGAAAATCTCTCCGGTTTTTCCCTGCTTTCTCTGCCACGTGCACTCCCACTAGAGCCACATGAGCGAGTCCTCTCCACCAGTGCTCCACCTGCACAGCCTGAATGCCTGCCACCAATGAACATTCCATGTGCCTCCTCTGCCTCAGCGAGAGGGGCACATCACTGAGACCTGCCCCCACTGCCAGGTCTTTAAAAAGCAGACTCACTGGCAGAGGGCCTTACTACTGTCAACCCCTCTGAGGCTGATACCCCCCTCCCCCCGCCGAAGGCACCTCCAAGCCTTGCAAGGCTAGGAGAAGACCAGCCTCCCTGGGTGAAGGCCCCTTCAGCACTGCAGCCCCCATGAGGAGGAAGAAGTGCCACGCCATGAAGGATCCTCTCCCCCCATCATTGGAGGCCACCTAGTACGGCCCACGGACCTGGACTCTGGGGCCTTGCTGAAGGCAACAACCGTGGTCCCAGCCCTGGATTCCGCGGATGCAGATGCATCTGCATCCAGGAAACTACCATCTGTGCCCAAAATGCTGCCATCACGTGGCCCGATCATCTTGCCGGCCACAGAAGCCGCTCTCCATGCCTCTAACCCTCAAGAGATCGCCCAAGGCTGTTGTTGCCTGTGGACGATGCTTCTCCCAGGAGCCACCTGTTGCACTGTGTCCCCCCTTGGAGTCAGGGGGGATCATCATCACACTCCCTGGCCTCCTTGTGCTCCAGCTCATCTCCTCCTTTGACCCCACACACAAGAAGGCCCTGCATGGCCAATTTCGACTCCAGCTCCTCAGAGGCCCATGCTCCCCGCACCTGCCTGAAACTCCCGGCCTCCCAACGCAGGCCCTGCTGCGAACGCCATGCCTGGAGCCCTACCTCTTCCTCAGATGACATGGCTCACTACAAGTGTCGCCAGTGCTGTGGCAGGTCCCCAGCCTCCCTGCCCTAGCCCAGAGTGCATAGCCCTCTGGGCTATTAGGGTGGTATATAAATGCAAATAAATAATAAATAAATGTACAAGACTGCAGGAGCCAATGGGAATGTGCTGGGACCACATGGTGCTCTGAGGAACCAGACCGGAAATGAGTCCACAGCCAAGGCCACCACACTGTTCCAGCCGCGACTCCCCAATCTTGCCGCTGCACCTCCCCCACACAGAGAACTGAGCTGTGCCACCAGCCCTAAGGACCAGCACCTCACCCATTGATGCTGGCCCTGCGAGGACTCTGCACCCACCAATGTGGCCTACACCACGCCTGCGTACCAGTACCGTCACTCCTGCAGCCCTGCTACAGCTCACGGCAAATGTTCACCTGCTGTACATCAGGATCATCAAAGCAGAAGCCACCACTATCAGCATTCGCCTTCAGGGGACACAGGTCAGACTCGGCACATTCTCCCTCCCCCTCAGCCTCCATCCAGTCTTCGAAAGGGCAGGCCCTAGACCAGGACCCTCTCTTTTTCTCCTGCTAAAGGGGGTGGTTTCTCTGACCTTGTCCTTCGTATGGCTGAGGACCTCAGCTTTTAAATGTCCCACCCACCTGAGCCCAAGGCCGGCCCATGCTATGATTGGTGGCAGAGGCCCTTCTCCGGGAACCCTCCGTGAAAGATAATAGGAGGATGAGCACCTGGAGGAGGGCCTTCTCTGCGGTGGCATCCCACTTATGGAATGCGCTCCCCAGAGAGGTCCGCCTGGTGCTGTTGTTATTTGTTTTTTGGCGCCAGGCCAAGACCTTTTTATTTAAATGGAATTTTAATTGTTAATTTATTTATTGTTTTAACTTATTGCCTGGATGTTTCTAGTTTTTATATATTGGTATTGTTATTTATTTGATGGAAGCCACCCCGAGGCTTATGTGAATGGGGCGGCATATAAGAATTCCAAATTAATGAATGATGCCATGGTCTCGGGGGATGCCACCCCAGTGTCCTTCCCCTCCTACCCACACTGCTGCACCCTGCTCAGCAGTCCTGGAATGCCCCTGCTGGGCCACTGCCACCTCACACAGGACTGACTCTGTCTACAGGGTGACCATAATGGCCTTCCCTCTATTCCTCCAGCACCCCAAGCCTAACTCCATCATAGTGGAGTCTATGCAGGGCACACCTCAGGTGAACAGTCCACCCTGGTGAACAAAGGGCACCACCTAAATACCATGGCCAAAAAGATCTACACAGCTGTTGCCCTGGGGTTTTAGGGTCTCTAACTACAAGGCCACCAGGGCCAGGTACCAGCTCTTCCTGTGGGAGAAAATGGGTGCCATGGTGGAGCACCTCCCAGACCACCTCCTGGACATGGTCCGTCTCATAAACATTGAGGTAGAAGACCTCTCTAGGTTCCAGCTGACACCATGGTTCCAGGTTGACACCATTTCAACTGCAACAGCAAGGCCATGATGGGAGCCATAGCCATCATAGGATAGAATTTGATGCTCTGCTGCCCCTTGATTGCGTCAAGACCACTCCTCCATCTCTCGCTCTCTCGGTGGAAGTCCAGGCTCTGCTGGATAAAGGGGCAATAGAGTGTCTCCCCCCTCCCCCATCAGCCCACAGGGGCTTCTACTCCAGGCACCCCAAGCTCAGGCCCCCCGCCTGACGGCCTGGTGGATCACCCCTTGACCGACCCTTATGACTCCCTCCCTTCTACAGTTGCCACCATTCTGCAGACCACCCTAAAACCCTCCACCTGCCACTCTTACCTAGTGAAATGGAGAGCCTTCTCATCCTCTGCCATAGCTGAGGTCCTCGACCCTGTCTCTACCTCCATTGAGCACATCCTGGCCGACCTGCAGACCTGCTTTGCTGCGGGCCTCTCTCCCTTCTCTATAAGGGCCCACGTGGTAGCTATCACCCACTTCCACCCTCCTATCCAAAGGTCCTTCGTGTTTGCCCACCCCCTGGCATGCTGCTTTCTCAGGGGCCTCTGAAACATTGCTCCTCTGGTCTGGCCACACACCCCTCCTGGAGCCTCTCCGTGGTCTTACAATTCCTCACAAGTAGGCCCTTTGAGCCCATGGCCACGTCAGACTTCCGCCTCCTCTCCTGGAAGAGTGCATTTCTAGTGGCCATCAATTCTGCCCACTGTGCCAGCAAACTGGCTCAACGCTCCCTTCACCACATTTCACAGGGACAAGGTCGTCTCTGCCCTTTCCCGCATTTTGCTCCAAAAGTGACCTCCCCCTTCCATGTCAATCAGGACATCATCTTCCCTGCCTTCTTCCCAAACCCATCCACCCCCATCAAGCCCACACTTCACCTCCTTAGTGCCTTATATAGGGTCTGGACTGAGTCATTACGCTGCTCTGAGCACCTCTTCCTATGCTACAAGGGCTGCAGAGTGGGGGAGCCTATCTCCAGTCAAAATGGGTCTCCCTTGCCTATGAGATGGCCAAGATCCCTCTAACAGACTAACCATGTGCTCACTCTGTGCATGCACAAGCCACATCCACTGCGCTGCTAGCTGGTGTCTCGATCCAAGAGATCTGCAAGGCCACAACGTGGTCCACACCTTCAACCTTCCTCTGCCACTACCAACTGGATGTCCACGCCAGATGGGACTGCGCTTTTGGAAGGGCGGTTCTCTCCTTGTTTCTTTGGTGACGCCAGCCCCCTCCTGCTGGATGGTAAGCTTGCTAGTCGCCCATACATGTGATTGCACAGAGACCACAATCTCCCCTCTGATGTCCCTGGTCGAAGCATATGGAAAACATTTAAGGAGAAATAATGATTTCATAACTTACTGAGATGCTATCGATCAATTAGGATGAGTCAAATCTTGGCAGCAACTAAAAGATAAAGGGAAAAATACACTATGGCTTGTTTATCACAAATTGATTTCAAGATTGAAAGGGGAAACACAACTAGGAGAAAGCCTCTTAAGAGATTTTGAAAAGTCAAAGCAGAACAATCATCTACTGGGAAGATTTTACAAACTGTTATTACAGTATGATACTGAAAGCCAGCAAGATAAGAAACACATGACAATTTGGAAGCAGAATCTTGGAGAAGAAATATCACCATGTCAATGGGAAGCCATTTGGAAGAAAGATGTTAAATTTACTGCTAGTCAAGCATTAAGAGAAAATTGGTATAAGATATTTTATTGGTGGTACATTACTCCAAAAGATATTGAAAAAATAGTTAAGAATTACAATGGAAAATGCTGGAAATATAACGGGGTGGACAGGACTTTCTATCATATGTGGTGGACTTGTGAAGTAACGAAGAAATTTTGGAAATTGATACATATGGAAGTGCAGAAAATTTTAAAATTAAGTTTACCATGAGTCCCAAGAATATGCTTCTGAATATAGTGCCAGAGAGCTTTTCAAATAATATGTCAGAGTTATAAGTATGACAACTGCAGCAAGAATCACAACTGCTTCAGAATGGAAATCGTTGGAGCCCCCAACAATTGAAGAATGGAGAAACTGACTAGCAGAATATGCTGTGACTACAAAGTTAACTATGTAAATAGAAGAATTAGAGGAATTCAATGATAAATGGAAATTTTACTATGCTCAGCATGACTAATGGCATGTGAGGGGAGTTTGGAAAAGGGAAAAAAGCAGTAGAGGATCGAAAGTGATTGGAAAATTTGTATAAATTAATGATTTCTTTTTTTTTTTTTAACACTCATAGAGTGTTGGACAGGAAGATACATTTGAGGGGCTGAATGTATAGGCTATATTTGTTTAAAATTCCCTTGGCAACTTTGTTCATTTTAGCTTGCTTTGCTCATTTTAGTTTGTCCTGCTTTACATTCTTTTTTGTGTACTTGTTTAATAAAAAAAGGATGCACACATGCCGATTTCTAGAAAAGGGTTTTTTTCTCAGACTTGGTTATGTATCAACGATTTCATGATTTAACCAATGAAAGCTCTACCTATTGATTTGTGCATCACCATCACGCTTAGTTGTTAAACGTTTTACTAAAGTTACTCTATTTTCCCCAAGAGATTTCTTAATTTCAACCTAAGAAATATCCAAAGGGACTCCCGCTATATCTCCCCGAGTCTCTTCCAAAAATTGAGGTAAATGATAAGAAACTGTTACCTGAAACATACTCTCTCACAACACTTAGGCTAACCACTTAGCCTGAAATCTGCAGCCATGTTGTACTTCCTGTCCAGGAGGGAGGGGGGAGGTATGGAGAACCCTGTGTGAACTCCTGGGACTGGATGACTGGATGTCAAAGAGGGTAAATGAGAAGTATCTTTGGAGCCTGGGACCGGCTGGAATCCGGGTGAAGCCTCTATAAAAGTAGCAAATTGCATTATAAATTACTAATAGTTGAGAAACATAGAGCGGATGTGAATAATTCAGAGATAATCAACAGACACATTAGTAAGGGGAGTCTCTGGATAAGTAAAGAGTTTTCTGTAAACTAACAAATAGAACAAAGATTAATGGGGAAATGAATTTACTTTGTATCCGGACATGTTATGACGTGGGGTATATAATGTATGCTCTCTGTACCTCTTTCGAGACTGATTTGGGAAGCGTCTCCCGTCACCGTTTATTCTATAGTGCACCAGAATAAAACTGCAATTAGCTCTAAGTCTTGTCTCAGGCTCTGTTTGGTTTTGGGTCTGGGGTCCACCCAGGGTTTGCCCCAGCTGTTAACTGGTTTCAGTCCGGTAACAAAACTTTCAATTTCCCTAAACGCTGGGGTTTTAAGATTTTATCCTTCTGACCTTTACTCTTTGGTTCCACTCGTAACTCACCACCCTGCATACACTGAGCTTAAACGACATCCCCGACTGCTTTCTTTTCCATTCTGCGACGCTCAATGATTCACATCCCCCAATTTCCTCAACAAACTAACTCAATTACAACAAAAGTTTTCAGTTTTTCCTGAGAAGGTTCGCTTCCAGAATCCTCCTGCTCCTCCTCCCTCACCACCACATTCTCTTCTTTTTCGGCCGTGTCCCTTTCCGCTCATCCTTCTTGTTCCCATCTTTCGCATGTGCCTCTTCCCCAAATTAGATAACTCTCTTTCCATCTTTCTCGTACATGATCAACGCAGTCGCTTCCTTTTGGTTATTCTAAACGAACAAAACTGCGCGCCAAAGCCAACCTCCACTCTCCTTCCTTCTTTGCCTTCCTCCCAGCCACACTCCTTCTGCCAGCTTCGCGCCACCATCTCCCCCCTCAGTCTAGACCTAGATTTACAATCTTTAATAATTTATAAAATTATTTGTTTAATCACTTCCCTATCCTCCTCCCCGCCCCCAGTCCTTTAAAAACACCCATTGTGACGCCGTTAGACGGTTGGCCAATGACTGTTCTCGTCACGTGGTGCGCGTACGACGCGGGATAGGTGGAAGTTTTCAAATGCGGAGTTGGTTCCTTCGGTCTCGCGCGTTTGTGGCTGAGTCTTCCGGCTTGAAAGCTGCCGCTATGGAGTCGCTGGTAAGATAAAGGAATGGGATGGCTGTCTGTTGGCTCCTCAGGAAATGTATATGAAAGGCTTAATTTGCGTGCAGAAGCGGTTTGAGGTCTGTAGCCTCCCTCTGTGCTAATATGCTGTACCTCCCCTTTCAACGTAAAGGTAAGATGTACTAGCTTATAGCAGAGGTGACACTTTTCCGTTGCCCGCTTATTGTATCGTTATTCTGCTGTCCTGCAGGTTTCAGAGAAAAATAGGCGGAGCACGTGGCGAGAAGCTGAGCAGTCGTTCGAACCTCACCTGCTCGTAGCACGGGAGGGGAGGAAAGGGAAGGCTAAGGCACACCAATGTTAGGATCGTGAGTTGGTGAGGGCAGCAGCCACACAAAAACACATCTTTAATAATATGATCCGTTGCAACAGGAAACTGAGAAAGCATGCTGTGAAGTTGAATGGCCAAGGTATTGATGACAACAGCAATCATCCCTGAGCCACATTTTGGAACTTGGAAGCAAGTTCTGAAAGTAACCAAATGCAGTTGCATTTCCACCACATCCCCCAACCTACCTCTATATTGCTGCACATCTACTCAATTCAGAAGAAACAGTGTGAGATGTCACAGGAAAAGAAATTTATTTATTTACTTATTTGAATTATATCTTCCCTTTTTCTTTTTAAAGAACTCAAAGCAACTTACTTTATTCTCCTGCTCTCAGTCTTATCCCTGCAACAACAAACCTGTGAGGTAGTTGGGCCAAGAGTCTGTGACAGGCCTGAAGTCACCCAGTTGGCTTTATGGTTGAGCAGAGTCTAAAACTCAGATCACCTGAGTCCCAGACCCACTCTTAACTGCTATGCCACACTGGTTTTCAGAAGTGTGCAAGGCTGGATCTAAAATCTGTCGCTTTCCTTCATGCACACAGAGCATCCCCCAAAATAACACTAGGAGCTGGTTACCATACTGCAAATATGAGAACTCTGACTTGGCAGCATTAAAACACATGAATCTGAAGAGAACTCATATCACACAGCAAGGTATACACCCTTGCAGTGCTTGCAAGGAATATTAAAACAAATCCAAAAGAGAACTGAAGTGCCAAAGTAAGGGCACACTTTTAAAAAGCCAAGGGGAGATCAGAAAAGGAAATTTAAATCCTCCTATCCACATAGCCAAAACTCTGCCTTCGTATAGGGAGTTCTGGATTTGATCAAGTGGTTGTTGTGATTGGACTGTTTGACTCCTTACATTGACAGATGACACAAAGCACACATTACATCAGAGTGGCATTTTCACTCTAAGTGGAAGGCTTCTGCTCAAGATAGGGGTGGGGGAATAAGGGCACTTTGGTGGCTTTAACTCCTCGCCACCTGCTGTGGTCTAGCTTGGAGCCCATGGACCTGCAATTTTTATTTATTTTTTTAAAGTTTAATTTGTTCCCGTACAGACTGATTGGAGATATTGACGTCAGGGAAATAAGCTATTTCGGATGAAGTGTTGATAATGGATGACAGGATCTGGTAGACACGGATTACTTTGGTTTCTAAAAGACTGTTGATAAAATCCCTTACCAAAGACTTCTGAGCTTGGGGTATGCTGAGGTTAAGCAACATTGGTTGTTCTGTCCTGGGAGTGATGGAACACAGTGGGGTTCCTTACAGATCTGCTTGGAACTGGGGCTTTTTAAATTTTTCATAAATGATTTGAAGTGAGCAGTGAGGTGACCAAATCTGCTGATGACACCAAACTATTGCGGGAGAGCGGTGCTAAAACAAAAAAAGCTCCCTCCAAGTTGAGCGAATGGGCATGAAAATGAGAAATGCAGTTCAATGTAAGGAAATGTAAATTGATGCACACTGGGACAAATTAAACAAAATGACAACCCTAGTGTCGGTGATCAATAAATAAATTTTGAGATTGTGGTGGTTAAATCAATGAAAAAGTTGACCCAGTGTGTGGCTGCTGTATTTTTAAAGGCAAGTTCAATGTTGGAGATATTATAAATGGAAATAAAATTAAACAGCCAATATCGTAATGATATTATGCAAATCTATGCTGTGGTCAAATTTGGAATGTTGATATAGTTTTTGACCTTAAACGATAGTGTAGATCTCAGAAAAAAGCAGAAAGGGACGGAGTTGGAACAGCTTTCAACAACAGAACTCCAACAACAGCTCCAACAACAGAGTTGGAGTTGTTCAAGGAGTTGGAACAGCTTTCTAATACAGTTTTTGTGGCTCTTCATTTTAGAAAAACAGTGTGTAAGGTAGGGATGACAGATGTGTAAAATTCTGCATGGTGTGGGGATGTGAATAGGGATATTTCCCCCATTCCTCATGACAGGGTTTGAAGTTAACATGTTCAACTGTAGATGGAGCTGCTAGAGTCTAATCCCGTCTTGTTTTCACTTCCCCAGTTGCCTATCTGCATACCTCATTTTTTCTTGCTTGGCAAGAGGCTCTTTTCTTGGACTAAGGATATTGGGATGTGCAGCTTGTTTGAATGCAACAGACTTCTGATTGGATGGTTGAGTCTTTGTCCCATGGATGATTGGGTTAAGTTGGGTTTTTTTCTCCCAGGAACATTTCATCTATGAGATAAGCTGTGATTTGCACATTTTTAAAATGCTATGGAAATTTGCGCTAGTTTTTTACTTCCAGTTCACATGCCTCTATCTTGGACCCATCATCCAAGGAAGGCTGTGAGGTTTTCTTCTGACTTGTGAGCTCTTGCAGACTTCTGCCTAAAGTAGCCATTAGAGTACTGTATTGTATGGATTTTGTTTATGTGTTCATGAATATATGTCATTTTCTTAGGAGCAGTGTGCAATACAAAAATCCTTTGTGTATAGGAATGCCCAGAGCTCTTGGTTAGTGTGTTTTGCTAGCAGGTTTTGTGTAGGACAGATGCCTTCCTGTTACCATGAGTGGATAGCTGCCTTGTATGTCTAGTTGACTTGTCTGGGGTGTTGCTGCAACTTCACAATATTGACATTATCTGTGCAGTATTGGCAAATTGGTCTGTGATTAATAAGCTACCTGGTGTATTGCCATGAATGCTGAGGACATGTAGCTGTCTGTCTGTTTTTTGGCACAGTAAGTTTTTCTCCTTTTCTGATCAAGGTGAGGATAAGAATATGATGGGTGTTGCATACATGCTAGATTTTGTGTCATTAAAGTAGTGAAGTAAGTTTAGTTTGAAACATGTAATACTTTAATTTCCAATTTTACTTGAACTTCCACTGTTTAAGGGTTGGAGGATATTTTCAGGTGTTTTCAAAATTTCTGGATTATGTTTGTATATCAAATTTCTCTAACATAGTAATACTGTGTTTCCCTGAAAATAAGACCTAACAGGAAAATGAGCCCTAGCATGATTTTTCAGGATGCTCATAATATAAGCCCTACCCCAAAGATAAGCCCCAGTTAAGATCGTCAGCCAGACAGACGGGGAAGCACAGTAGTATGTCTGTTGCAACACACAATAGATGTATTGAATTATAAAATATAATGTTAATATATAATTCAATATAAATAAATGCTATTATTGACATTAATACTTAAAATAACTTATAATATACATTATAATTAAGTATTTGTAAATACCAAAGCAGGCGCCTTTGGACGAGAGGTAAACACCTATGTAAACAGATGAACATGAGACTTATTGCTGAATGACCAGAGTACAGACACAACACACGAATAACGTCAATACATCGTGTGTTGTAACAGATGTACTTAATGCATTGATGCAAAATGCAAGATGGGTACAAAAAGAAAGAGCTATTCCATCGAGTACAAGAGGGGAATCGTGGAGGACTCTTGGGGCAAGAATCTTACGACTTTCGTATGAAAAAATAAGACATCACCTGAAAATAAGCCTTAATGAGTCTTTTTTGAAAAATTAATGTAAGACCCGGTCTTATTTTCATGGAAATACAGTATATTATACAAAATTCAAATGCAGAGAATTCTCTAGGAACTGTTGATATTGATAAAAATCTAAAGGTCTCTTACTGATGCAGTGGTGATGAGGGAAAACCCCACCCTTTGTTGCATAGCCAGAAGTGTGGCTTCTAGATCGAGAGAGGTATTGCTACCACTCTGTGTGACTCTGGTGCGCCTGCAACTGGAGTATTGTGCTCAGTTTTGGGCCCCTCATTACAAGAAGGATATAGCCAGGTTAAAGTCAGTGCAGCATGGGGCCACAAGGTTGGTGGCTGGTTGCAGGGGATGCCGTATGAGGTGAGACTGAGGGAACTAGGTCTCTTCAGCCTGGAGAAGAGGAGACTCAAGACGGGATCTGTTGGCGACATACAGGTATGTGAGGGGATGCCACACGGAGGTGGGTAGAGACCTGTTCTCCCCTGCAGAAGAAGGCAGGACGTGTTCAAACTGAGCAAAACTCAGGGAACCAAGGTTCCATTTAGATGCCAGGGAGCACTTCCTGACAGTTAGGACCCCAAGGGTATGGAATGTGCTTCCATGGGAAGTGGTTGAGGCCCCATTGGTGAGGGTGTTCAAAGATAGGCTGGACATGTACATGGTGGGCATATCCTGAACAGAGCCGGCTGGAGCTGGGGGTCAGAAAAGATGGCCCAGGAGGCCCCTTCTGACTCACTCTGTTTCTATGTTACTATGCTCTGCTGTTTTATTGTTTGGCTGTATTTGTAATTTGCATTTAATTTTAATTGTGAGTTCCCTTTGGGTATACTTAGTATAGAAAAGTGGAATATAGATTATTATATATCAGCTTATTTTCCTTTTCAAGAAACACATGAGTAATAATTATTATGTTCTCAACAGAATCACTTAAAAACTGACTACAGACCAAGATTCTTCAGAGATGGGTAATTTATATTTGTTTGTTAATCTGAATTCTGAAACAGCTAAAAGTGTAAATATTTTACTCTCAATGGCAGAATTTTATACTGGCCAAAAGCTGAATAACTAGCTTCACACTCCAAAGGCATTTGATACATTTGAGGTTATGTTTCTTGATCCATTTGAGCTTCCCTGTAACTTCTTAAAAAACCACACACTTTTGAAATTTTGGGAACTCAAATTATTTGACACACAGGTGTTTGCTGTTAAAGGGAACACTCAACCATAATGTCTGCAGGCATATACAGTGGTACCTCGGTTCATGAATGCCTCAGTTCACGACCAAATAGGGTCACAAATGGAAATTTCTGAAAAATTTTGCCTCAGGTTGCAAACTCCACATCAGGTGATGATCGTGATTGCGCCCGCCTCCCCCGAGTGTGCCCACAATTGCTCATGCCTTCCCCCCTCAGCATGCCCACTTCAAATTTTTGTGATTAAAAAAAAAAAAGTTACAGACTGGATTAACCTTATTTACATTGAACCTTATGGGGAAATTTGACTTGGCTCATGACCAGTTTGGGTCACGACCAGAGTCCTGGGATGGATTAAGTTCGTGAGCCAAGGTACCACTGTATAAAGAGAATGGTGTGGTTATCATTTGTTAAATGTATGTATTGTATTTTGTGTACATAATACTGTCAGCAAACCATATTTTTCTTCAAATCTACAATATGGATTTACATGGAGTGGTTCTTAGTAGTTGAGTTGTATATGTTAAAAAGAGTGTTTCCCAAACTACAAGGATTTCCTCCAATATTTCAGTGGAGGGGCATCACCATACTTGTATTCTTCTGTATGCATAAAACTACTCAGTTCATAGCAACTAGTTAATAAAGGCCTGTAGATAATGACTCCTTGTCTACACTAGAATGCACATGACTTTTTAAAAAGTATTCTTTTAACTTTTTTTAAAGTAAAAAAATCACTTTAAGTGTTTCTCCTAGAATTGAACAATTATGTTTTTAACGATTATATGTTTTATATAGTTTAAAACTAACAGTTTTAACAAACTGTAGAATTTTACCACTGCATCCTAATATAGTGGTGCCTCGTACTTTGAATTTAATTCATTTCAGGAGGCCGAAGTCCGTTCAAAGTCTGAAGCAATTTCCCCATTAGAAATAATTGAAAGTGAATTAATCTGTTCCCAGACCCTAAGCAATACCCATTTCAGTAAACTTAAACAGCAGATCCAGCCTCCTGCAACAAATTAAATTCAAGGTTATATACAAGACGTGATCAAAAAATACAGTGAATGTTTAAATTTAAAAAATTATTACAGTAAAAGACACGTTGCCATTAATTCCCCTCAAAATACTCACCTTTGCTTCAAACACACTTACCCCAGTGCTGTTGTTGCTGCTTCGATGTCCTGAATGGATTCAAGACAAATTGATTCAAGATGAATTGATTCAGGACATCAAGGCTTTTTTTCGACTTGGGTATACAACCAATGTTTTCGCTGCAACCACATTTTTTTCACCTTGCTCACAGTTTGAACTTGGAAGCATTGTCCAAACTGCGGAGCAATTTTAATCTCAAATCTTAACATTCAAACTCTGGGACGTTTGAAGTTCAGTGATGCCTTGTAGTTGTTCGAAATACAAGGCATCACTGTATTTTCCAATAAGTTTGGGCACTTATGTCAGAAATAAAAAGAGGGAAAGGCAAGACCATAAGATAGCAGTGTAAGGTAGCCGATTTCTTAGTTCATAAGAGTAACCAGATGCTGAGATTGTGAAGTATCCTTATTTGAATTTATGCTATCAGATTAGCTTAGTGTAGCGAAGGCAGCACCATGCCCAGAGAGATCCTGTTGCGTTCGTGTTTATTTCGGTTTTTGAGTGGAAACTAGATGCCTAACCTGCTAATTATCTCTAGCCTGTGACTTCTGCCTGAGGTGGGAGAGGTGTTAACTTCATCATCTTAAAGGTTCCACACAAATCCTTTTTTAAATCCAGACTTTTAAAGCAGTTTGATACTCCTAAATACATAGCTGTGTATTTATCTGTTGTTTTATGCATTACTGGCTTTCATGTTTTTAATTTGGGGGAATGGACTAGAAATATTTGATATAGAACAGTATAAAAATAATATCTGAAGGAAATGTACAGGGATCTGTGAGAATTGTGACCCCTACTTAAATGAGTATCAGCAGTTAGTTGTATGAAAAGCTTCTGGTGTGGATACAGACTGAATTTAGAATTCCAGCTCCCTGTCTAGACTCTCTGATTGCAAGCATGGGGATAAGCTTTCATGGTTTTGATGCTTTGGTTTTAAAGTGAATATAGACAATGACCTGGTTTGCATATCACAATAAACCAAAGTTCCAGGCAAGCTGTGTTTTACTATTTGTGAGCAATGTGCTGACACACACTACCCAATTGCCTCTGCTATAAGTGGGGGTAGTTAAACAAATCACAGATCTTCCATTTGTGGTTTGTTTACCTTGAGATTTGAATCGGAACCTCTTACTTCCCTCTTCTCCAACAAGCCAGTCATAACCTATGACTTGTTGTTACAAACCTGTTGTTACATAACCTGTGGTTTGGCTTGTCAGAGGGAAGGAAAGGAGAGTTTGCAGGTCATGTTCTGCCAGGGGTGTCAAACTTTAGGCCTATGGGCCAGATCCAGTGGACTAATATTTTACAAACGGCTACATATTCCTTTGTCTTGACCACTAACCGTTTGCTGATTTCCTTCTGCTTTGCATTGTTCTTTCTCCCATTTTGAAAGATGAAATGCCTCTTCTCATGCTGAGTTCCTGGAATATTTTGACAAATTCCTCATTGTCTTTGGCTAAGCTCAGAATATACCTGCCCCCAAGCTTCCCTGAAATTGAACTAAGCCCTTGAAACAGGTTTGAAACTCCATGCAGTGATCAGACTCTGGACAGAAGGAAGTGATCAGACAATGTTTATAAGCATACTGCTTGTAAAAGATAAGCCAATGGCTTGGTTTGCATGGTACAACAAGCCCCTGTTGCTTAATTTACCTACAGAAGCTGTTGAATTGTGCTGCATTTTTGCATGTGTGTCAATAAGAATAGCTTTACATGTTGAAAGCATTTTTGAAGTGATCCTATTCTTACCACACTTTTTTCTCACACATAGTCAAAGAAAAGCTGATGTTCACCAGGAAAATATATTGGAATATATACAAGACTGCTTTGACAGTAAGATTTTTGCTTTTTAAATAGAGTACAATGTGCTAACTATTTTCATATGTTATGTTTTAGTTATGAATGTGTAGGTGTGGCATTTTATTATTAGCTGTCTTGAACACTATATTTAGTGGAAAGTGGGGAAATGAATTTAATAGCTAAATAAATAATATTGGGACCAGGAGTCCTTAAGATTTTACTGAGCTTGGTAGACAATGTTGTTTCTACTAATCATAAAATCATAGAATGGTTATGTTGGAAGGGGCCAGAAGGCCATCAAGTCCAACCCCCTGCTATCACAGAAAACAAAGTTATACCATCCCATTCGGATGACTGTCTAGATGCTTTCTGAATGTCTTCAGCAAGAGAGAATGGACAATCTTCCCAGGTAATAGATTCCATTATTGTACAGCTCGGACAATGAGGAAATTCTTCCTGGTGTATAGTCTAAACCTAGTTTCTTTTAACTTAACTCCATTATTTCATGTCCTGCACTCTGGAAAGAACAAGAGCTTTTGTCCTTCTTCTTTGAGAAAGCCTTTCAGGTACTTGTAGAGTGCTATCATATCACATCTCAGCCCTCTCTTTTTGAGGCTGAACATGCCTACTTATCTCAATCGTTCCTCTTAGGGCTTTGCCTCCAGTCTCTGAATCATGCTTGTTGCCCTTTTCTGTACCCCTTCTAGCTTTTCTGCTTCTTTTAAAAACTTTGGTGCCCAGAACTGGACATGGTACTCTAAGTGAGGTCTGACTAGTGCTGAGTGTAGTGGAACTAGTACTTCTTGTGTTTTGGAAGTGATACTTCTGTTCCTGCAGCCCAAAATACCAATTGCTTTTTTTTAGCTGCATTACATTGTTGGCTCATGTTTAGCTTGTGATCTTCAACAACCCCAAGTTCCTTCTCATTTATTTATTCATTTATTTATTTTATTTGGAATTCTTGTATACTCCCCCATTCGCATAAGCCTCGGGGCGGCTTCCAACACATAAATATCTATACAAATACATAAAAAACTGGAAACATCCTGGCATAATATTTTAAAGCCAATAAATAAAATCAGCAATTATTAAAATAACGTTTAAATACAAAGGTCTTGGCCTGGTGCCAAAAAACAAATAACAACAGCACCAGGCAGACCTCTCTGGGGAGCGCATTCCATAAATGGGACGCCACTGCAGAGAAGGCCCTCCTCCAGGTACGCACCCTCCTAATATCTTTTACAGGGGGTTCCCGGAGAAGGGCCTCTCAAGGGGCGATCTCAAGGGGCGAGAGGGCAAATATGAATGCAGGCGCACCTTTAGGTAACCAGGTCCCAAGCTGTTAAGGGCTTTATAGGTGATAACCAGCACCTTGAATTGGGCCCAGACTTCGATGGGGAGCCATTGAAGCTGACGGAGGACTGGGGTTATATGAGAACAATGCCCAGTCCCCGTCAGCAACCTGGCAGCTCTATTTTGCACCATCTGATGTATCCGGACCGTCTTCAAGGACAGCCCCACATAAAGCGCATTACAGAAGTCTAATCGGGAAGTAACCAATCCATGTGTCACTGTCGCCAGGCAATCATTCTCCAGGTAGGGACACAGCTGATGGATCAGCCAAAGCTGAAGGAAAGCGCTCCTCGCCACCGTAGTCACCTGAGCTTCCAACGACAGCTCTGGGTCGAGGAGCACTCCCAAGCTGCGAACCCTGTCCTTAAGAGGGAGTGCTACCCCATTCAGAACAAGGTCCAGGTCCCCTACCCTGAAGCCTGAACCGCCTACCAACAGGACCTCCATCTTGTCTGGATTGAGCTTCAGTTTATTGACCCTCATCCAGCCCATTACCTTGGTCAGGCACCGCCAGCCACTGCCTCACCTGGATTGGTTGAAAACGAGAGGTAGAGCTGGATATCATCAGCATACTAATGATTCCGCAACCCACACCTCCTAATGACCTCTGCCAGCGGTTTCATGTAGATGTTGAATAGCAAGGGGGACAAAATGGAACCCTGCAGAATTCCATGACAAAGTTGCCATGGCATAGAGCCATAGTCCCCCAGCACCACTTTCTGGAGTCGGCCATTGAGATAGGAGTGGAACCACTGCAAAGCAGTGCCTCCTACTCCTAATCCCGCTAGCCTATCCAGAAGGATACCATGGTCAATGATATCAAAAGCCGCTGAGAGGTCCAGGAGGACCAACAGGGATGCACTACCCCTGTCTCTCTCCCTGCACAGGTCATCATACAGGGCGACCAAGGCAGATTCAGTACCATACCCGAGTCTGAAGCCGGACTGAAATGGTTCCAGATAATCAGTCTCATCCAAGAGAGCTTGGAGTTGTCCCACCACCACCCACTCTAACACCTTGCCCAGGAACGGGATATTGGCCACCGGTCTATAATTGGTGGTCATCTCTGGATCCAGGGATGCCTTCTTTAGGACTGGCCAGACTACCGCCTCCTTTAGAGGGGCAGGTACCTGGCCATCCCTCAGAGAGGCGTTGACAACCTCCAGGATCCAGGCCCCTATCCCGTGCTTGGCTTTGTTAAGTAGCCACAATGGGCAAGGGTCCAATAAGCAGGTGGTGGGACGTACTTGTCCAAGCACCTTGTTCATATCATCAGACCGCAATAACTGGAACTCATCCATCAATTTTGGACCAGACGGCAACATTGGCACCTCCCCTGAAGGCTCTGAATCACTAGTGGAGTCCAGCTTGTGACGAATCTGAGCGATTTTCTCCTTAAAATGCTTGGCAAAGTTGTCACAGCAGGCCGTCGAGGACGGTATGGGGTCTTTTTTGGGGCCTGGATGAACCAGCCCTTGTACCACCTGAAAGAGCTCTGCTGGACGGCACTGTGAAGAGGCAATGGAAGCAGAGAAGAATTTCTTATTTGCCGCCCTCACCGCCACAGTGTAGGCTAGATAGTGAGCTCTCAAGTGTGTTCGGTCAGATTCATCCCGTGATGTCCTCCACCTACGCTCTAGACGTCTCCCAACCCGCTTCATCGCCTGTAGTTCAGGTGTATACCAGTGGGATGAACGGGCTCTGCCAGGCGGGAGAGGACACTTAGGAGTGATCGTGTCAATAGCCCTGGTCATTTCCCCATTCCACAGTTTGACCAGAGCATCGACAGGAGCACCAGTCTTATCAACCGGAAATTCCCCTAGAGCCTTCAGGAATCCATCTTGATCCATCCGGCTCAGAGGGTGGACCAACACAATCGGGTCCACACCCTTACAGAGGGAAAGGCCGCTCTCAAGCTCAAACCTCATGAGGAAGTGATCTGACCATGACAGGGGAGTCAGACATAAATTCCTCACCCCCAGATCCCCTTCTTCCTGCCCCGTCGAGAAAACCAGGTCCAGAGTGTGTCCATATTCCTGGGTCGGGCCTGTGAAATGTTGAGACAGCCCCATGGCCATCACGGAGGCCATGAAGTCCTGAGCCGCCCCGGTCAGACCAGTCTCGGCATGGAGATTGAAGTCCCCCAGGACCACCATCCTGGAAGTCCTCAACACCAGGTCCGAGATGATCTCCGTCAGCTCAGTCAGGGAGTCTGTTAGGCAGAAGGGTGCATGATACACCAACAGAATCCCCAATCTGTCTCGGTTGCCCAACACCAAACAGAGGCACTCTAGACCTAGCCTAGAGACAACAGGAAGCCCCGTGAGGGAGATGGAAGCTTGGTAAACTAAAGCGACCCCCCCTCCCCTCCCCTCCAGGCATGGTTGGTGCTGGACCAGATACCCGGGCAGGCAAAGTTGAGAGAGGGAGACATCCCCGCCCCTCTCCCTCCCAGGTCTCTGTTATGCAAGCCAGGTCGGCCCCCTCATCCACAACCAAATCGTGGATGAGGGATGATTTATTATGGACCGACCTGGTGTTAAGCAACAGCACCGACAGGCCCGGGGTGCGTTGATAAGCCTACCTGGAACCCTCTGGCTGGGGGAATAACCAGAAAGGGGAACAGGTGTCAACCATCTGTCCCTCCTTCTATGCCGACTCGTTAAACCCCTAACACCATAACATCCATTGCCCAAGACCACCCCAATGGTGGCACCCACGCGCTCCCCAGGCAACCTTGTAGCCGTGGCCAGGAATGAATCCATTAAAAAAGTTAGGCTAAAATACAAGTTAAAATAGCAATAAAACCCTTAAAAACTCCCCACCAACCACCCAATACAATACAAATTCCAACCAACAAAGTCCCTGGCCAGCCCAGCACCTGCACGGCCCCGCACAGCCCCAAACGGCAACGATGCCCTTCGGCCGCATCTGGGGAGTTATGCTGGCGGCTCGTCCCTGCACCCCACCCCCAATCTGGCATAGCTATCACCCATGCTGGTGGGGGAGGGGGGGCAAGGGCAGCCATGGAGAACTTGCCGGCAAGATGGCATCCTTGGCGGCGCTCTCGGCGGCAGGTGATGTCGGGCCCGCAGTCCGGCTGTGGTGCCCTCCAGCCCCAGGTCCAGCGATGGCTGCTGTCAGCGGCATCAGCTGTCCCCCAGGTCCGGCGATGCGCCTCGCAGTGTTCCTCAGCGGTGGCAGGTAGTCGATGGGGGGCCCAGATCCGGCTCCAGCCTGGTCGCGTCCAGCAAGTTATACTCATTTGCAGTATTGTTGATCCAAACGTTCCCCATATTGTAGCAGTGCATTGGTTTCCTGTTCCTAAGAGGAGAACTTGGCATGTGTCCCTGTTGTATTTCATTCTGTTGTTCTTCGCCCAGCGTGCTAACCTATTGCGATCACCAATCTCTGTCTGTATCTTATCTCTGTCTTCCAGCTATTTGCTCTTCCACCCAGCTTTCTGTCATCTGCAAACTTAATTTTCTTTCCTTGTACTTCCTCAATAATAAAGACGTTAACCCTGTTAAAGATGTTAACTCTATGTTAATAAAGATGTTTCCACTGAACCCTGTGGAACCCCACTAGTTACCTTCCTCCAGTTTGAGAAGGTGCCCTTAATGAGCACTATTTGAATCTGGTTTTGCAGTGAAGTGTGGATCCACTACTGGATGCACTATCTAGCCCACATTTTGCTACTTTGATGATTAGGATGTCTTGGGGCTCTTTGTCAAAGCTTTGTTAAAGGCTAGATCAAATATGTCTAAGGCGTTCCCACAGACCATTTGGGAGGTTACCCAGTCAAAAAAATGAAATAAGATTAGTCTGGCCAAATTTGTTCCTGAGAAATCCATGTTGGCTTCTAGTAAATAGTGTGTTGTGTTCAGGGTGTTTGCAGACTCTTTGTTTTAGAATTTGCTTTAGAATTTTTCCAGGAGTTGATGTCAAACTAACTTGCCTGTAGTTCCCAAGTTCATCCATTTTTCCCCTTTCATGAAGATAAGGATAACATTAGCCCTTCTCCAATTATCTGCCACTTCCACCTGTCTTCCATGAATTCTCAAAGATGATAGATAGTGGTTGTGAGACTTCTATCTTTTTTATGACTCTGGATGAAGTTCATTGGCCCCTGGAGATTTGAACTCATTTAGTTCAATTGGAAGAAACTTGACCGTTTGATTGTTGATCTTGGGCTACTACCCTGCTGCTTCAGCTTGTACCCAATGTTCATTAGGAAGGTTGTAGATCTTCTTTTGGGAGAAGACTGAGCCAAAGGTGGAGTTCAGCACTTTTGCCTTCTCTTAGTCATCTGTTATGATTGTTCCACCCATGGTGAGTAGTTAAATGCCCTTCTCTTTCATCTGTCTTTTGCTTTGAAGATATTTGAAGAAGGCTTTTTTGGTTGCTTTTAGCTCCCCTCAGCCTCAGTTCATTTACCACTTTAAGACTTCCTGATGTCATCCCTGCAGTTCCTTGTTACTTACTTATATTTTTCCTATGCAGCCCACCTTCTTTCTACCTCCTATGCATGTCCCTTTTTGTTTTCCGATTGTCTCTTGGCTTTTTGTGAAGCCACATGGATCTTCTCTGTTATCTATTGCACCTTTTCCTTGTTGGAATTATTTGTAGTTGTGCTTTAAGCACTTCTTTTATTTTAAGATATCCCACCCTTCTCAGGCTCCTTTTTCCGTTAGAATAGCTTGCCTTGGGACTTTATCATTATCCTGAATTTGTTAAATTGGATTTTTTGAAATTCAGCGTACATGTTTGGCTACATTTAGTTTTAGCTTCCTTTATTATTGAAAATTCAAGTAGATATGGTCACTTTCCCCAGAGTTCACATAGCCTTTACTTTGTTTACTATCTCATCCCCTGTTGGTTAGGATTAGATTGAATAAAGCTGAACTTCTTGTTCCTACTTCTATTTTCTGCGGAGGGAATCTTTCAAGACAAGAATCTCATAGAGATTTCTATTAGAGATAATACCCAATCCCTTCTGCTCATTTGACTGGCACTCTTCAGGGCATCCACCCTAAAGAGGGTAGATGCCTCTTAGTCTGGTGCCTCAGCTTTGACCATTCTACCTTGGGCAACCCTCCTAGGAGGCCAGTCTGTGAAACAGCATTGTTCCCATTGAACAATGGCAGCATTGTTCTCAGCTTCTCTGTCACTTTCAACCCCTTGCGCCCCATGAACCTGTACATCCAAAGATTGTGGTGGTGGGAGGAAAGGGAAAGTCAAACTTAGATTTAGAATGCTGAAAGGCAAACTGTAGGTATTCAGTAGCTGACCAGAAGGAAATAAAGGTGGTAAAAGAAAAAAAAGGATGAGAGGCTCCTTCAAAGAGGAATCCTGCGAGGAAGAACTTGCAATATTTGAAAGTGAAGTAAAAGCTGCTCTGCGAGCACTTGAAAGAAACAAAGAACCCAGAGTAGACAGGATACCAATAGAACTGAACAAGCTGCAGAAGCTGAATTGGTCCAAATCATAACACGAATATGCCAACAAACATGGAAAACAAAAAGTGGCCTGCAGACTGGAAGTGTTCAGTGTACATTCCAGTCCCCAGGATAGGAGATGCAAAAGAGTGCAGCAGCCATGGAACCATTGCACTAATTTTCCACGCAAGGAAAGTGATACTTAGGTTCTTCAATCTGTATGCTGAACACATCATAAAGAAAGTGGCAATAGGTAGAAGACACATCAGTAATATAAGATATGCAAATAATACTATTCAGAAAGCAGAAATGAATTGATACAACTCCTGATGAAAGTGAAAGAAAATGCAAGAGTGGAGTTGCAGCTAAATATTAAGAAAACAAAAATCATGAGTATAAAAGAATTGCAGAAATTCACTGTAGAAATGAAGAAATTGAAATTGTGAAATATTTTACATACAGTCATCACAAATGGAGACTGTAAGCCAAGAAATTTGAAGAAGACAGAAACTTGGAAGGGCAGCAGTGGAGGAACTAGAAAATATCATCAAGTATAAAGACATTTCACTGGAGATCAAGGCCAAGATCATCCACAGCATAGTATACCTGATCACTTTGTATGGCTGTAAAAGCAGGACAGTGAGGAAAGCTGATTGCTGAAGGAGAGTTTGCAAACACCCTGGACGAACAAGTGTGGGTCCTAGCCAAAGCTATTCCTAAAAGTAAAAGTGAGAAAGCTGTTGTTGTTAGTCGGAAAGTCGTGTCCGACCCATCGCGACCCCATGGACAACATTCCTCCAGGCCTTCCTGTCCTCCACCATCCCCCGGAGTCCACTTAAGCTCACACCAGTTGCTTCAGTGACTCCATCTAGCCACCTCATCCTCTGCCGTCCCCTCCTTCTTTGCCATCTATTGTTCCCAGCATTAGACTCTTCTCCAGGGAGTCCTTCCTTCTCATTAGGTGGCCAAAGTATTTGAGTTTCATCTTCAGTATCTGGCCTACTAAAGAGCAGTCAGGGTTGATCTCCTCTAGGACTGACCGGTTTGATCGCCTTGTGGTCCAAGAGACTCGCAGGAGTCTCCACCAGCACCACAATTCAAAGGCCTCAATTCTTCGGCAGTCAGCCTTCCTTATGGTCCAACTTTCAGTCATACATTGCAACTGGGAAAACCATAGCCTTGACTATATGCACTTTTGTTGGCAGGGTGATGTCTCTGCTTTTTAGTATGCTATCTAGATTTGCCATAGCTTTTATCCCCAGGAGCAAGCGTCTTTTAATTTCTTGGTTGCAGTCCCCATCTGCAGTGATCTTGGAGCCCAGGAAAATAAAATCTGTCACTACCTCCGTTTCTTCCCTGTTTGCCAGGAAGTGAGAGGACCAGATGCCATGATCTTAGTTTTCTTAATGTTGAGTTTCAAGCCAACTTTTGCACTCTCCTCCTTCACCTGCATCAAAAGGCTCTTTAGTTCCTCTTCACTTTCTGCCATTAGAGTGGTATCATCTGCATATCTGAGGTTGTGAGACTGTCATAATTTGGACACATCATTCCTGCGTAAGATGGACATGCTAGAGAAAGTTGAAGGCAAAAGAAGAAAAGGAAGACCAAATATGAGGTGGACTGGCTCCATAAAAGAAGTCACAACCATGTATTTAGAACTGCTGAGCAAACTGTCAAGTTTGGAGCGCATTGGAGGACATTCACAAGTTCAAACATAAATCTGAAATGATTTGTTGGCACATAACAGCAAGGGTTTTCTTTGGTTAGAGTTCCCTTCTTACTTTTTCAAGAAACTTTAAATTAAGAAGACATGCTTTGCATATGCAACATGTCAGGTTCATTGAAAGTATTTCACTTAGTAGAGCTAATTCTTAAGCCTGTTTGACCCACTGAAAATGTGTTAGATCAGAGTTTTATTTTTATCATTAAAATGAAGTTTTAAAATGTTAATTATAATAAATAATTGATAAATAATTGATTATGAACATATTCACTTTACTGGGTACATTGAGCTGTAGTTCAGACAATCTGATCTTATATAGAATAAGATTGCTGAATTCTGCATACAACTGAGCAGTAAGTATCATGCTGTACAATCTTCTTCCTGAGGAATCCTGAAGAGTTAAAACATGCTAACTGCTGGTGGGTTAGCAGGTGTGATTTTAGATCACTTAAAAATACATTTAAGTTTAGAATATTTATGCATTCTCTTTATGAAAGTATTGTGTACTACTTGACTATTTCATTCAAGAACATATAGGTTTTTTTCTCTTTAGATTGTGCTAATGCATTTACAGCATGCTCCCCTAGCAAGTCACGTTGCTCATCCTCTAGCCTGAACCAGGACCAAGATGAAGTTCCACCTCATAGTAATAAGGTAAGTTGTTTCTGTTAGTTTTTCTTTGAGGTGGCCTTTGCATACTGTGTAATCTTATTTATTCATTCATTCATTTTCAGATGAAGGTACATTAGATGAATTTGTTGTTTAGTCGCGAAGTCGTGTTCGACCCATCGCAACCCCATGGACAACATTCCTCCAGGCCTTCCTGTCCTCCACTATCCCCCAGAGTCCACTTAAGCTCACACCAACTGCTTCAGTGACTCCAGCCAGCCAGCTCATCCTCTGCCACCCCCTTCTTCTTTTGCCATCTATTGTTCCCAGCATTAGACTCTTCTCCAGGGAGTCCTTCCTTCTCATTAGGTGGCCAAAGTATTTGAGTTTCATCTTTAGTGTCTGGCCTTCTAAAGAGCAGTCAGGGTTGATCTCCTCTAGGACTGACCGGTTTGATTGCCTTGCTGTCCAAGGGACTCACAGGAGTCTCCGTCAGCACCACAATTCAAAGGCGTCAATCCTTCGGCACTCAGCCTTCCTTATGGTCCAACTTTCACAGCCATACATTGCAACTGGGGAAACCATAGCCTTGACTATATGCACTTTTGTTGGCAGG